AGGTGTCTTTTATTTTATTGCACACGCAAGAAGAAATATAAAAACAAATTAGAAAAAAACATGGCGCCTCATTGCTAAACAACTATCTCTTCCAAGCAAGAAATAATTTTGAAGACAAGACGTAACAAAATGATGTATACGTATCTAATACCCAAATGTCTATCCTGACGTTGCCTGGAAGAAATTGCAACTTACATAGCAATAAGGCCACCTGTTGCACATTAACTTACTACTATTATGCATCAAGTTATTGTATTGTATTTTAACTATAATTTTATGTACAATATAAAATATTTTAGTAGCAATTGAGCTCCTTGTGAAAAAGTTCGTCCAGGGAAATACTGCCACCTTACCTCTTGCTACATAGCAATAAGGCCACCTTTTACACATTATCTTACTATCTTTATACCTAAGTTACTTTATTGTATTTTAACTGCAATTTTATGTTCAATAAAGAATATTTCATTCATTCATTCTTTCTATTTCTGCCGCCAAGCAATAATATGAGCATTACTGCGTTCTCATTTAGACGGTACCTAAGGGTGCTGGTGAAATTACAGGCATATGGGACTTGTCAACTATGTCTCAGGGCGGTCGGTGCAGTGCAAGTGCCCGTAAAATCTTTACGATTTAAAGCTCTGAATGGCACTGCAATTGTTATGAATAGGCATGTCGCTTACCACCAGGCGCTCGACTTGTTCGTCCCGTCACATGGTATTATAAAAAAAATATTTATTTCATTCATTCATTCGTAAAATTTTATTATTATATATTTATTATATATTTTCGCATAAAAAAATAATATGTTGTGATCGGTATTGTATGCAACAGGGCCGGTTTCCGCTACTCGACGTAGTAGCGCCTATTTTGCCTATGTTAAAAGAGTAGCATTTCGTCATTGGATTAAGCGGCTGGCGTGGAAATTGATTAGTAAAACACAGCTTTTCTCTATTCCTCTGTAGTAAATAATGGGCCTGATTTTTTGTTCTGTAACCTTGCAACATATTTTCATATATTTATTTTCATTGATATAAGTATTTAGAGGAATGCTTTAAAAAGATTTCAATTATGATAATTTTCATATGAACCCCTGGCCACATAAATATCAGAACGATAATTTCAAAAAGTATGACCTCAATCGTCTTTTGATTTAGAATCATAAAGGGTGGAAATCAAAATAATAATTTCGATTAAACGTTATTCTTCATCAACCTTTTTTACCATTCCTTTAAATATACACGTAAGTAGTGAGCAAATTTATAACCATAATATCATTGCCCATGAGTAATAATAGAATGTATAATATTGTATTTAGGTGATAAGATGTTTTGTGATCTTAGTCATTGTTCGAAATAAAACGAAAAAATATACAGTAGGCAATTTTTTATTTTTCTCCAACCAAATAATCTCTAAAGGACTACGACTTCCTTCGTTAACTAATGGATACGGATTGACTAAACATATCTTAGGAATTTCATAGAAATTATTAAAATTACATTAGACTTAACAAACTGGCGCTTAATGTATTAATTTATATAAATATCAAATTGGTGAAAAAATCTGTGCGGTATCAAAGTATAAGTGAATAATGTAAAAAAAATCTAAGTTTAAAAAACTATGTATTGACATATTGATTTACAAAATTTTTTCTGTTTCGGGTAATTTAGAATTGCCTTTAGAGTAAAATAAATGCTCTTGAAGGTGGATTCACAATGAACGATTCGGGTAATATTTTGCCGCAATTTATCGAGTTCCACGTTATGACCTTGAGTTGACCAATTAGGAGCTAAGGTCGCAGCACCTGATTGGTCAACTCAAAGTCATGTCGCGTAACGCGATAAATTGCGGCAATATATTGCCAGAATTTGTGCAATATGAATCCACCTTAAGTGTCGTTTGATGGTTTTTACGTTATCAAAGTCGTGTCCATTTATAAAATTTTATAAAGATTGACAGAAAGAAACAAGTGAAAATCTGAAGGGACTACGTCGGGCGAATAAGGTGGATGAGGTAACACATCCTAACCTAACTGCAATAGTTTTTGACGGCTTTGTAAAGATACGAGTGGTTTGGCATTACCATAACGAAATACGACACCTTTACGATTGTGAGTTAATTATAAACGTAAAACTTTCCCGCCTTTTCTTAAAAACTGCACTAGAATATTATTTTCGAAATGACTGTAGACAATATAACATTAAAAAAAAGTTCTTTCTTTTAGCTAGTGGCAAAAACCGTACGGACTTTTTAGTCAACCCAACTCAATAAAATGTCACAATGATTATCATTAATTACAGGTTTCATATCACGGTACGATGTCTTTTTATTTTCCCGATATGCAGGAACCGTTACACATTTCATGGTCATATATAGACTAATGGATAATAAAAAGAAGCCATAGCGTGGTAAAGCACCTGACACTAATGATAAATCATTCATTTTAACACAAAAGTGTTAAATAGTTACAAGTTCTTTTTAGAACAAGTTTTTCTAATGATGTTTACACGCGAACTCGAGTTTTTCGAGAAGATTGTTTGCTGAAAACAGGGCACAAACACAGGAGACGCGAGATAAATAACAGTCTTTTACAGATGTACAGTCGGCATCAAAGTTATCTGAGCGTTCGAAGATACCAAGAACACCCAAGTACAGTGGTTAATAACCAACTTGACGTTAATTCGTTTGAAGTACAATTTAATTCAACTGTCAGGAGGCAACAACAAATAATTAACCTAAGTAAATTTACGTTGATAAATGGGAAATAATTGAACATCAGTAATTGCATCAGTAATGTAATCGAATCAGTAATATAATTGTAAGCTTCCGTAACATATCGAATTCCTGTGTGTTCGCGATTTTTACCCATAAGAAATTAAACTATTTCTCACGACTGACCATAAAACCTGTAAAGAACATTTCGTTGCCTTACTTTCTCAAACTCATATCTTAAAGCACAAAGTTACTGAAATGCAAAAATGAATTGTATACACAAATTTTGCAAGCTGATTTCACATCGCATTTCCTTCGTATTTACACACTGGCTTTTACGTATTCTTAAAGTAATGCATTCAAATGAACACCCTTGATAAGAAATTTAAAATAAATAGAAAGTTTTGCCATATCCTGAATAATCACTATTTATAAGATACGAGTTTGAGAAAGTAAAGCATCGATATGGTAACTCCATTCATACGGCGCAGCGCGGTTTATATGTGGGTACGCCCGCCGCGCGTCTTGTACGGATGCACACATTCACATAATAAGAAAAGGCGCGTGAAACGGCCAGCGCTAGGCAACGTGAATGCATCGCAAAATTATGCGAATGTGTGTGTCCGTACACGGCACGCGGTGGATGACATTACATACAAATGGCGTTACCAAACTTCTCTTATTATATTATGCCGAAACCTTGATACGATTTAAAAAAATGATATATACCTAAAAAAATAGTTACATTACCGTAATATACACAAATACATGTAAAATTATGTAATATTGCGCAATACGTAATGTATTCCACATGCTAAGCCTAAAATAATTTACAACGTTTAGATATGATAATTCTACGTGGTATAAAGTATATATTTATTAATATAAAGTTTATAGAAATTAGGATGATGGAAGTTATGTATAATACACATAATGTTTATGTTAAACTAATCATCTATCATAGTATCTTTTTAGTTTTACGTTTCTTTCATGTAATTCGTGTACCAGACACTTATTCAGACAAAAGGTACCATTAATTAACTGTTTACAATAGTTAACTGCAAGTAGAAGGATAATTTTCAGGTTAGTGTTTTCTACCTAATTTTGGTGGCAATATTCATCATTTAAAAATTCTACAATATTGTCATGACGTATTACTTTATATTCGAATGTAGTATCCTGAAATATTATTTATAGTTTCACCATAATATACTCGAATTCTTAAATAACAAAAATTACACCGAAATCAGGTAGAGAATACTAACCTGAAAATTACCCAGAGACTCGTTTGATTAAACGCTATGTACATGTAAGGGGAAAGTATAATAGTTCTAAGAAAGGCAACCGACTTTTCACTACAATCACTTACATGTACAATTTCAAGGATTCCACATTCAACTCATTCATTTTCAAAGCCAGTAAACAATAAAAAAAATAGTAGAAAAGTACCTTACCTTACCTTACCTATATAGTTCAATTACAATTTCAAAATCTCCAGAATGATCTATAAATAATATAATTGAATGTAAAAATATTCTATGGAACTGTAAATTAATAAATCGTCTAATTTATTTAATACAGCTACTAACTTATCACAGGATGTTCTGAGCTTATGTTTATTACGGAACAACATCCTCTCCATGTCTAACATAATTGTAAACAACACAATTATACAGGTTTATTTGTACAACACTAAGAACCTTGCAGGACTATATATTACTATCATCATAAACAACAAGTTATGTTCTATACTTTCATAATTCATCAGCATTTACTATCGTTCAAAAATAAAAGCATTTAAATAGATCACTCTAGACAGTGGCAACTCTGTGCAGTAATAAAAGAAAGCGCTAGCGTAAATACCAGCAAAACGCAGGAGCGGTGGTGGGGGTAGTCGGGGAAGACACGAAAATACACAGATCTAAAAAGTATCAGATAGTACAGCAAAAACTGAAAAAAATATTTTTGATAAATTTATTATGTTTTGTAAAAAGTTATGGATCAAAAATAGTTATTTGTGATGTTAGTAACATAATTCTACGAAGTTGTTAGTGTTTTATAAATAACCTTGTATATTGAACTAATTAATAAATTATATTAGTGATTGAGATTATTTGCGTAGTATCTCATAAGTTAATTTATTTAGATTAAAATTTTATACATAATTATTAGGAAACAAAGTGCATTGCGTGTTTTCAAATAACTACGTGCGTGCACATGATACAGTAATCGAAATAAAGGTAATTAATATTAATTTTAGAAATAAATAACATAAAAATTATTAAAATGACAAATTATTTCAAATTTCAGTAGTAAATTGAGCAACCAATTGTGATTAAAACAATATAAATATTTCAATTAATATGGTACTTTTAAAGTACATAACATATTTATTACAATAAATTCGTTCCTATTTAGTATCTATTTTTCATCAAACGCTCCCCTGCAAACTTTTTTATGAAGCCGGAAATAAAATTTTTTGAAATTAAATGATATTAGACTGTGCAAACAAAGTATTTCTATTGACAGGATTTTGTAAAATTATTAGCGGAATAAAAACGTTACAAAAAATACTTGATCTAGGAGTTATTTTGGTCGCAAAAAAATAAAAACATTTGGTTATAAAATATTTGGCATTCAAAGAAAAATAAATAAATGATTTCCTTAAAATACTTTGATATTATTCTAAAGCACATCTAGAACATTCTTTTGAGAAATTGCCAGCCAATCTTACATGAGAACTTGTTTGTTTGTATTTGAAATACGACGACGTTGGGTGATACAAAAGCCAAATCTCAAAACCCATCTCATTCACGAGTTTATTCTTAAAGCTCATATATCTTTTTGCATTCCAAACACCACAGTTTAAAACTTGACAACACAAAAAGAACTAAATCAAAGGTACAAAACCTTTGTAAGATACCTGTTACTTACATTACACCTATGTATCTTCTTGGAAGTTTCTTCATTACAAACAAACCGGACCAACATTCTACTAGACTTTAAATATTGTATGAGATTATGTCAATATAAGGTCCATTGCGACAAGCATACTTCTAAAAAACTCCAAAATTTCGATTTCTTAGGTTTTCACGGTTGTTACACATAGAAAATAAAATTTCGGAACTAAGTCGCGTATGTGTTCCTTCAAATAAACCAACACTTCATTGATCAGTCAACCGGGACCATGGGATCTGTAAATTACCCGAAACGTTGGTTTGTTTGAAAGAGCAAATAGGCGTGATTCAGATCCGAAAAATAGTTTCATTTCCTAAACTTCAAAATTTAATATTAATTTGATTTCACAAATAGCGTAGGATACTTATATGTAACTAATTCATTTATCCATTACATTTATCTAAAAAATCTAAAAAGAAAACAAGTATATAAAGTGAACTAACTATTTTTGTAGGTAAGAGTTATCGTTGTCGGAATTATCGAACACCGTAATCGAGATCAGTATCCAAACGATGGCGTAAAAAAATAATCTTATGAAGAAAACAACGAAACGGGGAAAAACATCACGTTTTAACTAATTACTATGGAAAAACTAAAACAGAAATGTGTAAAAGACATTAACACTATTAATGTCTTTTAAATTAATCATGAAAGTATACGTATCGGAATGGCCACCAATATTTAGATACTTAACTATTTAGTTTCAATTTCACCAAAGGAACTGGCTCAATCATTATTTATAGTTCACGGAGAATTGCACTCTTGCAGCAAACTTGTACACTAAGCCACAGTGTCTATTTTAAATTCGCTGTTTTTCTATCCAACAATTTCAAAAACTAGTTTACGCTGGCACCAAATTGCCACTTAAATACAGAATTAGTTGCGTAAAGATGACCACACCTAACAAAAATACGCTCTGTGTTGGGAGGGAAGCGTCGTCTGGCAAACCACATTCGGAGCCCCGATATTCTAGGCAGTAGTTCTGTGTATAAAACAAAATAATTAACAAAACCTATCACGGAATAAAATTGAATCATTAAAAATAATTGATACCAGTGACTGTTCAACGATTGTTACCTGGTAATTTTAATTACACAACTCAATAAAATTATCTCCTGAATGTCGTGTTTCTTGATTGAATTTAATTATTAACATTTGAACGTGCGATTTGAGTAAAATTAATTGAGTAAAATTATTTACAAAGTACCTAACAAAGGATTTCGAGTCCTAGTTCCAATAATGTGCTTCTTATAGATTTGCACCACAATGCTATGATGTGAATTTGTGACTAAACAAAAGCATCATAAAACAATTGTTTCGTTCACAAATAGAGGAACAAAAGTCGCCATGTGAGATTTTAATTTGACGTTGAGTTTAACAACTGTAAATAGAGCGAAGTGTTATATAAAAATATTCATAGTACGGCACTATACATCGTCATAATAAAAAAGTATTCAAAATATAACAAACCTTTATAATATTAGAAGCCATCCGCTTCAGAAAGGTGTTAGTGAAGTGAGCCGCTTCGTTGCCGCATGACCGCTGTACCGTCCGCTCGGAACATAGTAGGTACTCTTGGAATGAACTGGAAGAAAAACAACATTTCTAAATAACTATGGACTGTCTGACAATTAACAACGATGCGACACGTAGGTTGCCGGTGCATTTGCAACGCTATAATTTCAACGCAACGTAACGTTGCATTAGTACCGCCCTGTCGTCATCGGCACTGCACTACGCCTCCCCGCTTCATGCGTCCCCGATGCGTACGCCTTCCGTCTCCCGTTTCAACGCGCCATGTAACATGTAGTTTTTATTTATAATGTATACACGCCAGCACATCAAGCTACACATTGACGTATCTTGTTCCGTTGCACTGGAGGCGATTTTCGAACAAAAATGTGTAGTCTGATGTACCGTTGTCCGTACAACGCAGCGTCACCGCTTAGGTACGTCTCAACGCCGATGCAACGCATCGCATGGCATCACTCTAAGTTGAAGCCTATAAGTATCTTAACTATTCTAACAAAAGCCTACCTCCCAGTACATATCGATTGAAATTCATGGCTTTACATTAACGACCTTCTTACTTACCATAAAAACATAATATAAAAATAAATATTGAATTAAAATAAAATAACTATTAAATAACTATCTATTATATAATAAGTAAACATAAATGGGAAACTTTCGAAGTATCTCCTCGGACCTGTTTGCGTTAGCACCGTCTAAGATAGAGATATGGCCTGTCAGTAACTTAAACTCTTTAAACAATAATTATGTTTTAAGCGATCCGAAAATAATAAAATAAAAATGATTTTCATTAGTTATCTAGTATTCTAACAATTACAAAAAAATATAATAATGATTCAAAAACATTATTACCCAAACGAATCATTAATGAACACGAATTTCAAGGAAAAGCGTCAAAAACAGTTTAGAATTCATGAGTTAATCAAGCTACGTGACCTCCGTAGACAATAACTTCATTTCCACTGCGCTGTAAAAGCTTAATCGTTGAAAATTGAATTTTGAACGTGTAACATATTTTTAGTTTTCGGCAGGAAAACAGGAGAATTGTGGTTTGAGACAATATTATATTTTAAATTTAATGAAAAATATTTAAAACATGTTTTTAACAACTGAAGAAATGCGAACATATACGAATTTGTATAAACCAAACTAATTATTTAAAATCATCCGCGACATCCCGAAAGATCTGCAATTATCACGAACAAATATGGGGATGTGTCTGCATGTCGAAAAGATATTGACCCAAATATTATTCTAATGACAGAGCTGTTTCTTTTTGAGATTCAGAGGAATTCACGTAGTAAAAGTTGATCGTATTTATGACTTTAATCAGCCCTTGAAATATCGCAGACATTTAGAGCTCGTGTAAATTGACGTTTGTTCCAAAATTCTTATTTCATTGTTCAATGAAGTAATAGTTGGCTGTATTGCTGAACAGAGCGCATTGTACATCAAAACCAACCAACTAAGCAAACAGCATAAAATTTAAAATTGTTTATTTTAACTTGGAGCTGTTAAAACTTAGTTCGTTCACGTTTTCATTGTTTTTCAGTAGAAAATAGTGTTTTTGTTTATCTCCATTGTGAACGCGTGGGCGGCCGTGTGTGAATCCTGCGATAACAAACAAATATTTTTAATAGAAAAACTGGGCTGCGCTAGCCGTGACAAAATAACATATACAAATGTTTTAAAAGCTTTCATAAAATTGTTTTGAAACAATTTCCAAATTAATGAATTGAAAAAAAAGGAGTTTTGTTACTCTATTCCACGATAGATTTTCGTTATGATGCGAACGCGAATTCCCTACGAGTACTTAGTAATACAACCTACACTTGATTATATTAAAATAGCAACACGACCTTTCATCGTAATCCTACGAATATTATAACTTAATAGGTACCTAAGTTACGATTTCATTTCATTTTTCAGCTGTTAGCTTGTTACTATCCCACTGCAGGACAAAAGCCACCCTTCCCTTTTTCCACTCGTAATGACGCATCAAGATCGTCACGCCATTTCCTTCTGGGTCTTTCACTTCTCCGTCTTGCGTTTGGTGGGATCCATTCCGTGGTGATCTTTACCCACAGCTCGCTTGACACGCGGGAGTTGTGTAAGGGTCAGTTCCATTTCATAGCGTTTTATTTTTACCACTTTAACGATTTGTGTTTTGGAGAGCAGTAAACTGTTCCGTACGCGGTCTGACAGTTTTACTCCCAAAATATTGCATTGCGTTCCATGCCACGCTGACATAACCCGAGTGCGAACTTCCGACGATTCGTCAAAGACCAAGATTTGAGTACCGTAAGTACGGAGAGAATATGAACGTCCATGAGTTTTTCTAGGGATTAGCGTTATTTTCCATTCTTCAGGTTTTTCATTGACCAAAAGCTTCTCAACCCCTTTTACTAATCTTGTCTAGTTATAAGTTACAATGAAAAGACATTTCTTTAAGAAATTCTCAAATGATTTCGGAAACAAAATTATACAGGTAAGCTAAACTAGCTAAACTTTATTTTCTACAAAATAAGGTTACATTCGACGAGTCGATTGCTGCCCCATTTTGAGGTAACCCTTAGAGCGGTTACACACAGCGATGCAAACGCGATGCAGTAGCGATGCAGTCGCTAATCGTCTACCTTTACACACGCGCGCCATTTTAAGCAGCGATGCAAACGCGATGGAAGCGCGCGACTGCTTCGATAGAAAGGCGCGATTGCATCGCTACACTTGGGCTTTGTAGGCGATAACATCGATGCAATCGCGTGTTTGTATCGATGCAATCGCGCGATTGTATCGAAGCAGGCGCGCGTTCGCATCGATGCAATCGCCTATATATCGCAAGTGTAGCGACGCAATCGCACGTTTCACGAACGCGCGTTTTCATCGCTGGTAAAAGTCGCCGTGTGTAACCACTCTTAGTAATTTCATGCATTTTTGCGGCGTGACAACTTATGTAAGTAAATTTTATTTAAGTGACTAGTATTATACTAAAGTTAATTATAAACCTTCGTCTATAGACACGAAATCTTTGCTTAAACGTCTAGCTCTTAATATCTTTTCTAATTACACCTAAGGCGATTTTCACATTAACATAGGCCACTCCTAAAGCGTTACTGTGGCAAATTACTGATTCAAATGTTACAAATGGCGAGGATAACGAAGTCATTAACTGCCAAAATATCCTAAGTGTCGCACGAATCCAATAGAATTCACGAACGACGAATAATAAAACACAGCCGTAATGACGTTATAATACGCAAAAAATAAAATGTACCTACCTGCCGAACTTACCGAGGATTTTGGAGTGTTAATGACCACTTTATTATCATTTGTTTCTTTGCTACTTAGTATTTGTTTTACGCTCTTAATTATTTTTAAAGCCTTAGTCATTTGGCCAAGGTAAATATTACAAATACGCATAACTTTCGAAGAAAAAAAAGCTTCGCTTCATTCAACTTTCATTTCTTTTCAGTAAGCTTTTTAAAGAAGGCATTTCATGTACTATAAAAGATAGAAAATTTAAAGTAAGAACGTTTTATTCATTAGTAGTCTTAAAAGAACTAATTCTTTGAGATAGATTCAAAATTATCTAACGAGTGTTGCCAATAACCGTAGTAACAGACTGTTTGTCTGATGTTTTTCAAAGTTTATCCCAAAAATATTATTAAAGTCAAAGTTTTACATAAACGAACGGATGTTTGGAAAAGTCAAAAACAGCTCAACTGATCTGAATGAAATATGATCTATGAATGACTTAAATTCGATAATAAACACCCACACAAAAAAATCATTTAGCACATAACGCGAATGAAGTCGACGGGAAAAGCTGGAGATTAATAAACAGGCAAACAAGAAAATTAATATAGAACATTCACTGTTTTTCAAATTATACAATTTGCAAGTACAAGTAATAATAACAACATAATAGAAACGCATAAAAGACAAAAGGGTCGCCAAAAAGTGGATACTTTTGACGCACAGACCTAAAGTAATTTGCATGTAAATTTGAATGGGATGGTTCCCTTCGAGATAAATATACGTAAAGCTGTACTAAGCGTTGATATTGCTGGAATCATCTCGGACGCGTAGTTAGAATTGGTACGAGTTCGATAAATAGTCCTAACGAGGACCATTTAATATTCAACGTCCAGACTCTTTGAAGTGCTCGCCCCGGTCCTCTCTTGATAACTTCCATGACAGTTCAATTTACAAGACTGAATGACGTCGTCGATGTCATCTCCAGCTTACAAATAACAAGTTTATAAGAAACTCATTAGCGTATTGCTTAATCGCCTTAAAAACGTACAAAGGAAAAAAGCAAATAAGAATTATTATTAAGAAAAACGAAGCGCTTGTTTTATGGGATTCCCAATTTACAGAGTGGTATGGTTTATACCGATTATTTTTCAAAACTTTCAACAACTTTGTTAATCTAATTGAAGAACGAAATTTGTGCTCGAACTAATTACAAATTCAACAAGATTCGAACAGTCAAAGGCTTTGCAATCGTATTTTTGGCCTCCCTTGTTTTAACTTAAGGGACTGCGGGATTAGGGTGATAAATTCATTAAGCGCTCAATAAACTCTTAGAGACTTGTGCCCTTGGATTGCCCAAAGTCTCTGGAACACTCGTACATTAAAGCAAAATTATAATCAGGCAAATTCCGCCTGACTTAAAGCTATTCATGATAACGAAACCTTGACAGGTGACAAAATGTATACAGTCTTCATTTAAGTCCTTATCTAAATTGATCATTAATAGGATTGATACAAAAATAATTATATGAGGATATGATTTAACTCACCAACAGACTGTTCTCATGGTGTCTTCATGGTTGATATCGCGCTGATCCGTATGATACTGGTCGCTAGCTTGATGATTGCTCAACGAAGTTAACGTCACTTCGTAATTTCTGCTGCAAACTTCGTATTCCGACCTCACATTCTTTACACAATCAGCGTGCTTCAAGTATTCATTTTGATAAGCTCCTCTAGTACACAACTCATTGACGACTTCCGTAATACCAGAATATATTTTCCTAAAGACAATTTGTTCATGTTTCTCCATACATACTTCAGTGTAATTGTCTATGCATTTAATACCAGCGCGCAATCCACTGCAACAAAGGAAATAGATTCATGCATTACTAAATTATGATACAAATTTGGAATTCTAATTATAGCATTTAATTGCACAAAGTTAATGAAGGTTTATTGATCAAAAACGGGTGAGAGCAGGGAATCGCTGTGTGGAGAACGAATGCAAAATCGTTCAATACACTGAATAATATATAATACATGACAAGAACTATATCGAGCGTCCTGATACCGGTTCATTGTGAATTTACTCTAGCTCAAGTTCACTATATTAACATTGTTCAGATGATATCAATATCTAAACGTCTGTAATAAATACCTAAGTAATTAATAGATTCAGGCGTTGCTTTGTACAAGTCCATGTTAATAAAAATGAAGCAAATTATTTTGCTACTCCGCGAACCCAGGTTAAATCGTGCAAAATAGCTACGCTTGTGTATAATATTTTTTCATGCAGTAAATTATCCCACTCTCCCTCCAAAAATTAATAAAATAAATAACACAAGCGCAACTACAGTCACAAACCACCACCAAAAATATATCCGACACGTGTTTCGCCTCTCCACGTGGCATCCTCAGGGACTGTTGACTGTTGACTGTTGGGTGTTTTAGAACAGATGGAAATAATTAGGTACAACAACAGGGGTTGTATAATAAATGAACATTTGAATTTTGCATCATCACCTTTATTATGGGTATTTTCGGGTTTAAGCAATAGCAACACTGGGGTTATAAATACACCAACCGTTCTAAACGAGCTCACCACAGATCATTCATACACTATATTTGAGCTCACTATTTGGCCGAGTGTCGAGCAGTCAACAGCCCCTGAGGATGCCTCGTAGAGAGGCGAAACTCATGTTGGGTATATTTTTGGTGCTGGTTTGTGACTGTAGTTGCACTTGTGTTATTTATGCGGAGGGAGAGTGGGTAATTAACTACATGGAAAAATATTCAACACAAGCGCAGATATTTTGCACGATTTAACCTTCACTGGGTTCGCGGAGTAGCAAATTAATTAACTTCCATTTTTAATAAATACTTAATTAAACAGTTACACCTACTTTTATTAGGGACGTACAGATTAATTTCTACGTTTGATTACCGCTGCATAATTCTAATACATTCATTCACTTGGCCGTTTGCTCAGTAAAGTTAGTCGAACAACCAGCTCCAAATTGGTATTTACCGCAAACAAGAACACTAAATTAAGATGAGCTAACTGCTCTCCATTCCGTTGCGAGTTCCTCTGACGGTAGACTTGCTATTTAGTAAAAGTTAAAACGCTTTTAAGAAACCACGTGAATTTCGAAGTTAAACATATAAAATAATATATAGTTTACCACAATACTCTCAAAATGGTGCATCAAGAATAAGTATGTTAATTTAACAGAACACAAATTGAGTTTTTGTTTTTTGGTAACACGAGTTTTAGGTTTGAGTCTCGTGACGACAAAAACATATTTTTTAAATGATGGTTTATTTTTCTCTAATCTCCTTTTAACTCTATACCCCTTGACCAGCGATATCTCAACTTCTTCAAAAAAATATTTTTTGTCAAACTGAGAAATAAGCCTCTGTTTCAGCGATCACTTCCGCATTTGATGCAAATTGGTAAAAAAATCAGATAAAAAACGTCAAATGGAGTCAAATCTGGTGAATACTGCGGTGTGGCAATAGTTCGTATCATAATTGACAAGTGTTGATGTTCCATGGTAGTGGCACTGATTGCAGATGAGAAACGGAATACTCGGAATTCCGTTTTCTTCATCTTCAAAAAATACTCGTACATAGACTTCACCTAACGTTTTTATTTCTACTTTCTTTTATTTTCGCGCTCATTTTAAAAAGTACCGTTAGTTGCTTAGTTAAGCAGTTCAGAATCAAGAAATAAAAATAAATAAATTGTAATAATAATCATAACAAACTAGTGGAGTAATTTCACATAAAAATAATTGAATATCAATTCAATAAAAATTTGAATACAATGAATAGCTTAGTGCATCGACTTACAAAAAGTCAATGGCTTAATGACAAATATTGATCAACCCACCCTCGTAGTTTAATAATAGATATTATATTATGTAATATGTATTTATCTAAGTATTTATATAGTTTATTATAATTTAATGTTACTGATATTTTTTTAATTACATAATTTTTGTTTTGTTGTGCACATAAACCCGTTACGGCGCGTGTACAAGCTAAGAAAATCGACATGCGTCGACACATCTGCTGCAGAAAAGATGAGAATAATCTTGTACACGACAAGAACTTTGTCGGATCTAGACACGAAAATATGTCGTGTCTGTTGCAGACAAGAAAATGATGACTATGTACACGATACGAATGCTTTCGGGCAGACATGTGTAGGGTAAACGTGTCAGTGCATTAACGAGTCTTCCAGGTAGCTGTCGTTTTACTAACGACTGTGGGAATAACTATGTTGACTAAAATGGTAGATAAATTTATAAGAAAAGAAGATACTAAAGAAATCTTACATTGCGATAACATGAAGAAAAATTTATCAAATATTTAATTTATTTCTGTATTTGTCATTTCTTGAAAATCTTCCTTAAGAATAATAAATATTTCTCTCCATGCCTCAAAGGTGTGTTGTTTATCTTTATAAATCTCTAAGGTTTGGTCCCACAATACGGGTCGTTTCTCTACTACACTTATAAGTAAATCAAGCATTTTATTAGTCGCAACAAAATTAATGGTGCAACAATGGTGCTTTGCAACACCAGTCCACGCGCATAAACGTGTCGTTTACTGACCATGCGCCCCATACAATACCGGCAGAGTGCGTCGAGCCGGGGGTATATAAGATTTTTTGTTGTCCGGCGCCGAGGCTGTGTACACAGTTCGTGTGCAGAAACGATACGAATTCTTGCTTAGACACGGCGACTTTTCTTAGCGTGTACACGCGCCGTTATTGTAATTATTGCGTCTTGTAATATTTAGGTCTGCAGGAAGAAATGTCTTTCAAAATAATTAGTATATTTAGTCTGCGTTTTCCTTTTTTCTAAATGTTATTGTGTTTTCCAGGGCAATGATTAAATAAACAAGGAAATAGCACATTTACTACACCAATTTCCTGGTCTCAAACTAGGGAATTACGTGGAACGGAACTCACTCTGAGACACTCCCCAGAACACCCAGACCAAAATTAATTAAGAAAAGTTCATTTCCCAAATTGGTCCTACCGGGAATCGAACCAGGAAACTCAGCATCCAACGCCCACAGTGTAAAACGTTACGCCCTCGAAATTGTCAACCGGTTACTTCCTTTAAGGTTCCCTAGAGATCTAAAAACTATTATCTATGTTACTTTACAACCCTAATATTTAGATGTATACACCGAGGCCACTAAATGCGTCCCTGCTTACAAAAAAATATGTGTCTACATAACGAATTATACCGTGCATATTAATTATAGTTCTAATAAATTACGTGAATATCACAATCACAAAAAAAACTAAAAATAGTCAAAACTTAAAATCTTTCATTAGCACGGTATTGTAGTTTCACAAGTCCCCTTTCTGTCTTTAGCAAAAGTTACCCAGTTTTCCCGGAGTTCGAGACGTTAATGGACTGTGCTAGAGAGCTTAACTATGATACTAGAATTGCTTGTGAATCAGTTATTTAATTATACTGCTATATAAGAACTGAACTTTACTAAAACAGAGTTCCACCTCTTAGCAGCTTAAGAACTCTGAACTTTTGTGCCAATGTGTTTCATGATAAGCTCGTTATTAACGTTTAACGCGAGCATTATTGGAGAACTATAGGAGATGAAATGTTGTGTAAGAAGCTCTATTTATTTTTATCACGATACTAAATGACGGGACGAGCAAGTTGTGCGCCTGGTAGTAAGCGACACGCCTATCCATAACAGTTGCAGTGCCACTCAGAGCTTTAAATCGCAAAGATCTGAGGTCACTGCGTCACTCACCCTGAAACGTGAGTTGGCATGTTCCATGTGCCTGTAACTTCACCAGCACCCTTACACTGCAAAACCGTATTAACTATCTTAAAATACAATATAATTAATATATGTATATGAAATATCCGCTTATTCAAAATAAATAAATTTAAACTTCAAAATGTATTGCAATTCATACCAGAGTCGAAGACCAAACACTTCATCATTTAATACAATATACGATTACTGTCATGTTTCTTTATTCGTCAAGTCGCGATTTAGGTTAATTTTAATCCTATTGTCATAATCCGTCACTTTTTATGTTTTTCAATGTGGCAAAAATCCTGACCGCAATGTGACCGCGTTAATTGCAAAAACTGAATGCTCTGGTTTCACATCATGTCATTCAGTGTCTGCCATATTGAATTTTGTGTCATGTCACTGCCAAGGTTCTTACAAATCTACCGTCACCTCATTTTTCAAGGTCGATTGAGGCTTTCAGATTTAGGATATACCTAACCCGTCTAGTTGCTTTAGATTTAGGAGATACGTAACCCGTCTGGTTGCTTTATCCTTACTAAAGTTTAGAAAGTCGGCGAGTAACTGCCAATTTTAGTTTACTCAGACAATGTTGGCTCAAAATGCCGTTAATATCAATTTTGCAAGAAGTACAGTCGCGTGTCTACATCTCATCGAGTATATAACTAGAAATAGAGACGAAATAAAGGCCTTGTATTCCTGGTAACACATTAGCGATACAGCTCTTATAAATATCAACTCCCGTTTGCACTGCAGTATAGACAGGCCAACTACTGACCTGTGTGTACGTCTCCAAATAATCCAAAAAATATTCTGTATTTATTGTAATAAAGATAATATATCTAACAATGTCGTGCTGTTCTATTCGGTGGTGTGGGAAAAACAATAAAACATCACATAATTACAAAACAAACGGAATCACATTTCATCGGTAATTAAATACTAAATATGTAATTTTGCAAT